ATGCCTCTGGATTGATACAGAGTGCTGGGATGCTCTGAAGTCCAGCATGTAGCACTAGAGGTTAAGCCTGTTGGCATAGAACCTGCCGTCCATTTTCCCATTCCTGCCACTCCTCAACCCTAGGAAGTCGAGTTCCAATTGCTGGTTTCCAGGGATTTTCTGTTAAACCTTGGATCACAGAAAGATGTACTAACAAACTATATTTGGCTCAAAACTTCTATTAGAATCATAAAATTGGTCCATCCTGAGGGTAGAGTTAGGTCCACTATGTTCTACTGCAGGAGGTTGAATATCTGACAGTTTACTTATAATTTTGCTGCAAACATACTTTTCATAATCTATTACAACATATATGTAATATTTACATTGATCTTCATTATTATACTGATTTGTGAATAAAGAACGAAAAAGGTTTTGCCAGCAGGTCACTGGGTGAGAGATGAACTCCCACCCCTGGATTCCTGGACCCTTTAGGTCCGGAGAAACATCACTGTGTGCTGGATGCTGACTCAGGGCATAACACAGCTTTCTGGAGACCCTGTGTTAGTCCTGTAAGGTTCGGCCATGTAGTTGGCCTTGCAACTGAAGGCCTATCTCTCAGTTCTATCAATTCAGCCCTCGAGATGAGGGACATGGCAAGACCAGAGAATTCCATGAGCATGGGCTCACTGCCACACTTCTTTGACTGGAAAGTGAGCTTTTTAATCAGAATCAATGCTGTTCAGCACACCATGATAGCTGGGCGCTGGGGCTCACACCTGTAATCCTCGCCACTCAGGAGGCAGAGATCAGGAGAATCGAGGTTCGAAGCCAGCCTGGGCAAATAGTTCACGAGACCCTATCTTGAAGAACCCTTCACAAAAAAGTGGCTCAAGGTGTCGGTCCTGAGTTCAAGCCCTAGTACCACACACACAAAAAAAAGAGTACCATGATAGTGGAGATTCTAAGTCCACAGATGCTAGTTTTGGCAGAAGCACTGCACACAGGAAAGGCAAATCAAATCCAGAGGAATTGTCTAGTCCAGTAAGAAAAAAGACCCTATCCCTTCCATGATGGAAGCAGTTCAATGTAACCAGTCTGTCAGAACTGGGTGATCACCCCAGGGAATGGTGCTATCTCTGGGGCTGTGTTGGTCTCTGATCCTGTAGTCCGGGCACTAGCAGTGGGCCATGGCTAGAGCTAGCGCTGGCGAGTGGAAGCACAACTTCCATTCCCGTCGCTATGGCCACTGTTGAAGGGAAGCGGAAAGGCTGCTACCACTTTGCTGGGAAGCCACTTGCACAGGGAAGGCCAATTCTACTGTGGATGGGGAGACCCTGCTTCACTGCTCTTCCTACATGTCTCCATTCCAACAGGACCCCATTTATTTCCAATCAGTGCCCTCACATTAAGAGGCAGCACCCTCCTGGATGTGGTGACAAACTTGTAATCCCAGCACTGGGGAGGATGACGCAGCAGGATCAGGAGTTCAAAGCTAGTCTGGGCTACACAGTGAGACTCTGTCTTTAAAAAAAAAAAAAAAAAGTAGACATCTGAAAGGCTGAGTTCCACCTGTGTTGTAAGTTAACAGTCATTGGCTGAAGTTCTGCATTTGACTTTCTGCACTTTCAGCCCTGCTGTTACAAGAAGCTTCTGCACACCCAGAAGCTCTTAGGTCTATATGACACTTGAACTAGGAATTTGAGTCCCTGGAAGCATCTTTTTTCTCCTACTACTTTGTCCAGTGACATTAAGACCAAATAAATATTATACTCCTGAGTTTTCAAAAAGAATGTTTGAAAGTCTTTTATGTAGAGTCAGCGAGTTGTTTCTTATAAACGCTTAGGAGTACAAATGGCAATATTTTGCGTATCTCCGGTGCACGCCATGGACTGTCAGTGCTCTCTTTACTATGGGCAATGGAGTCACTAGCATCTTTAAATGTAATCCAATCAGATAACCAATCCAGAAACGCTTCTCCTTTGGGACATTCTCTGGTTATCTCTGAGTGGGATGAGGAGGTAGAAAATTACAGCTATTTTTTTTGCAATACTAGGGCTTGAACTCAGGACCGACACCTTGAGCCACTCCACCAGCCCTTTTATGTGATGGGCTTTTTCAAGATACGGTCTCGTGAACTATTTGCCCCAGCTGGCTTTGAACTGCGATCCTCTTCATCTCTGCTCCCCAAGTAGCTAGGATTACAGGCATAAGTCACTGGTGTCCAGCCTCATAGATGTCTTCATAGAGCTGTATTTTCATTCTGTAGTTAATTGGACTTTTATCCTACCATGTGTTACATTTGTTGTAACATAAAATTTGGTTCAAAGATTTAAGGAGTGCAGGACTGAGTATATGTATGTTTAAGACACAAAAGACTTGAGCGTGGTTTGGCTCTGCTCTAAGAGCTGGGTGGTCTAGGTTCTAGGGAAAGGTCAGGGGCTCAAAGCCTGGCTACACCACTGACTGTGACCTCAGGTGGGACGCAAATGTTGCCAACATTGGATGACAATGAAACACTGCTTCATAGATACCCACTGTTCATAGGGTACATGGGGCAGGGAAATAAAGAACACAGTGGATCTGGTCAACATTTCCACCAAGGTGCTGCCCAGGCTGACCCCACGTGCAGGGGCTCCACTCAGCTTCCAGCCTGATGCCCTCTCAACTGGAGTGGTCATCCCCTTGAAACCAGCCCTCCTGGGTCAGTCTCTCAGGAGATTGTGCTTCAGCAATTGCTAATTGTTAGATGGACAATTTATACTTACTGGCCCTGCTCTGTGGCTATGGGGTCCAAGTTGCACCCAGACTAATTTCTGAGCTTGGAATTCTACAAAATTCCCCTGCTTTAGTCTTACAAGTGATGGGATACCTAAAAGTGCTGGCTGGTCACTTCATTACAGAATGGATTCCTGAGTACATACTATGCAACTAGCATTGGGGCAGGTGCCAGGAATCCACTAGTGACAGGACCTGCCAGGAAACAAGAGGCTGGGGGATGCCTGGGTGGGGATGACAACCCAGAGCAGCGACAGCTCAAGGGAGCCTTGACCTCCTCTCCCAGGGAGGCCAAGAAGGATGCTGCCGGCAGGGCAAAACCAGGTTCTGAGGCGGAAGTCAGAGCTGAGTGAGGAGGAAAGATGAAGGCCAGGTCAGGAGGACTGACTCCCACAGAGCAGGTGCTGCAGGCCTTCGGCTCCCTGAGCAAAGTTGGATTAGAGCCACTGAGCGGTCAGTAGCCCAGGCTGTGGGTAGAGCCTGGACTTTCGGCCTGAGGACCAGAATGAAAAATGTACAGATGTCAGAGGAAATCTTTCAGGGAGTTGACCTCATTAACTGGATCATGCTCCCTAAAAATATCTTTTAATGTCTACCACACTGAGGCACTGGATTACCTGAATATGCTTAGGACAAGTTATTTTAGGAATTCTGATACAAGAAAACATTATTGGTGATTTTAAAACTAAACACCTGCTGTTTCTAAGAACACTATGGGCTTAGGGCAATAGTTCAAGTGGTAGAGCGCATGCCTAGTAGGGATGAGGCCCCGAGTTCAAATTCCAGCACCACGGAAAAAAATAGCTAAAAAAACACTTGGATTTTCACTATGGAAGTTTACTTTCATATTTAGTGGTTAAATTTTATAAGAATAAAAAGCTTACTAAGGGCTCCTTTATTTAATGGTTATTTGGATTATTTTGGACAAAAAAATCACCATAAAGGAAGCAATCTAAATATACACATTAAAAAATAAGGAGAGAAGCTGGGCACCGGTGGTGGCTCATGCCTATAATCCTAGCTATTCAGGAGGCAGAGATCAGGATGATCACAGTTCAAGGCCAGCCAGGCAAATAGTTTGAGAGACTCTATCATGAAAACCCCTTCACAAAAATAGGGTTGGTGGAGTGGTTTAAGGTAAAGGCCCTGAGTGCAAGTCCCAGTACTACAAAAAAAGAAAAAGAAAGAAAGAAATAAGGAGCGTGTTGGTGGGGTGGCTCAAGTGGTAAAATGAATGTCAAGCAAGCACGAGGTCCTCAGTTCAAACCCCAGAATAGTTGGGCAGGGGGAGAAGAAAGAAATGAGGAGAAAATGCTAACATAAGGAGATGCATTCTACCTCTAACATTTTAAGATTTCAAATTTTGTTTCACTGACCAATGAAAGGAGAGTCAGCTGGGCAAGATGAATACCTATAATCCCAGCACTTGGGAGGCTGAGACCAGTCTAGGCTACATAGTAAGACCCTGTCTCAAAGGAAAAAAAAAAAGAAAAGAAAAAGAAAGGATAAGTCAAACCAAATAACAGGAAATAACATATTATGAAATGGACATATAAAATTTAATCCCTTTGGTTTAAAATACATCCTTAGTGATATAATTAAAAACAAATAAAGACAAAATCAATTTCATAAAACAAAATATAAAATATTATTATATGACCCGTTTCCCCTATCTTAGAAAACCAGCAATTTAGTTCACATACTTCATTAGAATATTTTAACCTAATAATAGAACTATCAATCCTACTTACATAAATGACCTATTCTAATTCCCTGAACCTAAGGATACCCGTGATTTTATTTGTTATAGTATTTGTTATAAAATTACATTTTAAGTATTTTTATATACTTAAACACCTGTACAAATGTTCCCTTGCCAGAGTGAGTCTCACAAATTCATGAATGCTTTCTAGAATCGTTCACAAGATAATCAAAGCTTGAAAGCTCTGAAACATGGTAAGATAAGAACCATTTCTTATGCTAGGAAGAGGAAGAAGAAATCCATTTTGAGCTACATCTTTTGGCTCACAATAACAGCAGTGTGAGTGCTGTCACTGGTGTTTGCTGGCTCTGCACAGGCACATGTGACTGGTAGGCACACACCAGCCAGGACTGCTCGTGTCCTTTTACTTCATTTGTTAAACAGTACAGAAACCCACCTGACAACACTCTCAGAAGCAGACACACTCTGTCATCTAAGACTGCCTTGCTATGTTAGGGAACAATTGCTTGTGTTTGGGAAACACAGTATTCTATCTGCTTGGTCAACATTATCAAAAATAACTTAACCTTTTCTCTAGGAAAGTCCTCAAAGTAGATCTCACTGGTGCGTACCTTCACTATCTGTACACAGACACCGTATTTATATATTATATATTTATATCAGACATGTATGTACACATTTACAGACAGACCTTCAAAAAGATATTGCACTTATATACAACGGCTTTGTCTTAACTAATTTCACACTGTAACCCATTCATGTTCTTCATAAGAAAGGCAGCTGATACGGCCAAGGAAGTTGCAAAGAAAGGTTCCAGAAATGTGCCCTGTTTAGTAAACACTACCGGAGAATGACAGGTAGAGGGAGAGGTTGCTCTGCCCTTCACTGTTCAGGAGCTGTGCCCACTCCCCAAGGCAGAGCTAAAATGAGGTCAAAGAGCACAAAAACCTTAAAGCCAAGCCTATGCCTTCCTGATGCCCACTTTGAGCAGGACCACTGATACTGCAGAGACAAGGCAGATCTCCCAAAGATTCTGACAAACAATGCAGCAGATATCCTAAAGGTTCCCAGAGTCTGTTAAATCTTGGAACAGAGTTTTCATTTTTAGTTTCCTAAGTATCAGAAATTCAACCATAAAGATGCATGGACTTCTCTGTCATCTGAAAAACATCAATGCAGTACATTAAATGCAGCTCCAGTGCCAATGGAATCCCTTCCCCTGATGTCCACCTGGGTCTTGAGGTGGGTGCCTAGGCACCTCTGCTGGCCAAACAGTAAGGTCTAGGGAACCCCTTCACTGAGCTCCTGAGGGCCGTGGGCTCTGGGCCTTAGATCTCCGTCAGGGTGAGCTTGTACGATCCCCCTGCTTCTTCAATCTGCAGCTGGAAGGTGTCTTCGTTGGAATAATGCTTCACAATGTTGTCATCCATGTTCACCAGGATCCTGGATTAGAAGACACAAGATGAACTGCTATCATCCTACCCGGCTCTGGAGTGAGTGAGATTTACCCATTAGCCCTGCACTCCCTAGCTGGGATCTGTGAGGAAACTGTTCACGTCATCTGTGTCTCAACTGCCTCAGCCATAAAGCGGAGTTGATCCCAGTGCCTAGCGTAATGACTGGTGACACCTGGAGAAGGGAATGCAGTAAAGATTATAGTGGGCCAGGCATGGGGCCAACAGAAAGTACTGCCTTGTTCATTATTATTTCTGGCATGAAGTATTCACTCAATAAATGGTACCCAGGATAAAAAAATAAACCTATAGAGCTCTCATGGTCCGGTTCTGGAAAGCAAAGTGATAAAACTCATCTCCATGACCTGAAGCCACCTGCCCCTGGCAAGTTACCCTCAAAGTTCAAACAAACTACTTACGCTCAACACTTTCCACCAGACACTCTGAAGTTCCAATTAGGCTCAGAATTGACCCAAAAAGTTCTTATGTTTTATACCCTGCTAATCCATGTCAAATAGCACAGACTCTTAATAGAACTAAAAATATTAAGTTCTGGACAAAGTAATATTACAATAACCTGAAAGTATGACTCAAGTAGAAAGGGCCAAAGCTTTGCAGTCAGTCATGGCTTCACCATCAGCAAACTCGTGGTTTCAGACAAGCCTCTATATCCTCCTGACTCGGAAGTCTCATTTATAAAGCACAGATAGTAACACCCCAGCTCAGAAAGACAACAGGGAAAATTAGAGGAAGCCACACGTGAAGTGCCCAACCTAACACCTGGCTCACAAGGGGCACTCCCTAAATGGAAGTGCCGTTTTTGATGTCCCTGGTAAACTTCATCACAAACCTGGAATTTGGAGCTGCTTCCAGGCTGTCATGAATGGGAAGAGCAAATATAAATTTTATGTGAAAAACAATCTACAAAGATGATCTTTGAAGGCAGATCAACTTTAATAATTTAATAAGAAAAGCAACAGTGTAATGTGTTTTTATGGTTGGTCCTGGACTTCACCCAAAGCATGTGTGTCACATTCATGCTTTCAGAGGCACACAGAATTTGCACCACTGCTCACCCTTTTTTGCACTTCTTGAATATTTTCCCAATCTTGTCATGGGGAACATCATATTTGTCTGAGATCTAAAAGAACAGAGAAAAATAATCACAAAATTCTGTTTCCTAACAAATAATGATATACATACAGTTACTCATTTTTTTTCTTTCTTTTTTTTTTTAATAACATGGTTTCACTATGTACACAGGCTGGCCTCAAACTCTTGCTATACCTGCTTCAGTCTCCTGTTTTTCAAAGATACAAACACACACAAAAAAATGGAAAAGACCCAGTCCATGTGCTGGGAGGGGCGGGGAGGAGAGAGGTTACCTACCATCTTTGAAGGGAGCTGGAGTATTTCCCCCTAGTTTATACAGATATCAATAAAACAGATGGTTGGAAAAATATATATAACTAAGACTCACTAGGTGAGTAGATTATATGGTCATAGATTGTCTTTTTTATTTTTATAGAGCAGTTTTAGGCATACAGAAAAAATGAGCAGAACACAGAGTTTCCACACACCATCCTCATCCCTCCTATGGTCCCCCTATTGTCTACACCTTGCATTACTGCGCTGTACTTGTTAACATCTGATGAGGCAATGTTGCTAGTCGTAACTCCAGCCCAAGTGCACTTCTCTGTGCTGTACATGCTGTGTGTCTGACAAACACACGTGACATATTATGCAATCATAGGTGTTCTGATCAAATGTACAAAGGCCTCTCTCTGCAGTCAGATACGTGTAAATGAAATCAACCCATTAACCAGCAGGGAACCTTTGGGACCCTTGGTCGTCCCTTATCAGGGATGCCTCACAAGCGACAGGACTGGCATGAAGATTAAGGAGTGTCCCCCACACCACAGGAGTTATATATTCCTTTCTTTTTAAAACAGGATCTTGCTATGTAGCCCAGGCTGGCCTCAAACTCATGACCCTCCCGTCTCTGCCTCTTGAGTGCTGGGATGGCAGGAGTGTATCACCAGGCTCAGCCTAATTTTTTGGCAGTGCTGGGGACTGAACTCAGAGTTTTATGCATGTGCACTACTACTTAGCTACAACTCAGGCCTAGAAAGTGTTATTTTAGATATAAAATTATAGAAAGAAAAAGTCCTCAAGCCCTAGGTCATAAATTAAGAACTGTGATGGTGGTCGCTAATGGCTCACACCTATAATCCTAACTACTCAGGAGGCAGAGATAAGGATGATTGCAGCTCGAAGCCAGCCCAGGCAAATAGTTTGGGAGACGCTATCTCAAAAAAACCCATTACAAAAAAGGGCTGGTGGAGTGGCTCAAGGTGTAGGCCTTGAGTTCAAGCCTAGTACCACAGGAAAAAAAAAAGAACACTGCTCCTGCTAATTCTACCCACAGCCTCTCCAGAAACAAGAGAAATCTTGGAAAACATGGAGGCTCATGGGTCAATACAGTTGTAGCCACTGATGTGTGGCCCTCAGCCTCTCCTGGTGTGTCATCCTGGCCATGTCGTCCCATCCATGTCATACGTACCCCTCCACTCCCCAGCCCCCATAGTGATACTGCTCCTGGGTAGACTTTGGGTATCACCCTTTCAGGGCATAAAGGTGAAGCAAAATGATGAAATTACTCCAAGGACAAAGAGCCAATTCAGTTGAGATCAAATACTTTCCTTGGAATTGCTGTCGACCAGGGTGACTTACTCATCTCAATTTGCAGAGTATAGTTCAAGGCACCACTGAGAAATGGGGCCTCCGATGGCTTTAAGTCTAACGAGAGCACACACTTAGACCAAGCACAGGTCAGTGTTTTCACCATACAAACAAGCCCATTTCTGTATCACTGGATAGTACATTGTATATAAATCCCAGCCCCAGGGGATGTAAGCCACTGTCACGGACTTCCTTAAGAGCTGTGAACAAATTATACTGGAACAATAATTCTCCATCTTTTCCACACTCCTCACTCCCCAAAACCAAGGGTTTGCATGATGTTTAAGAAACAGTGAATGGTCCTCAAAAGACAAGACACAGAAGCCCAGGAGAAATAGCAGGAAGCAGGAAATTACAGGAGAAATAGTAGTGCTGTCTATGCTGCAGGCAGGAAGGGAAACATGTAGGAACACTGGGAACTCCAAGAATTTCCCCCAAGAAACACCCCAAACCCACTGTCCCCTCACCTGCTTTATTCATCTTCACTGCACTTTCTGAATGACAATTTACATGTGAATTTCCTGTCTTTTTAAAAACTGTCTCTGTCTTCCTACCTGAAGGGCAGCCTCCATTTGGCACTGTGTTACTCACTCTTGTGACTCCAGTGCCTACAATGGCTCCTGGCACAAAGCAGGCCCTTATCAAGATATGTCAAGTGAGTTGAACACAATGCAGTTGTCAGGGAAGCTGAGGACATGGTTCTAGTTTGTTACATAACACTTCGAGATCAAAGATTTCTATGGACTACAGGGGCCTAAGTTGGTAAATATTATGACATGGTGTTGATACTAGAATTTTAGGTAGGGCAAAGCCAGAAAGTGAATCAACACTGTTCTAAGTCTCTCCTACTGACATCCCAAAGGGGCAGTAAGGTCAGCTGGCTGCAGCCTTTTGTCAATTCCTGTAAGGATTTGTGGTCATCACTGGTTACACCTCTACTTTGTTTTTTTTTTTTTTGGTGGTACTGAGTTTGAACTCAAGGCCTAAACCTTGAGCCACTCGGCCAGTCCCTTTTTTGTGATGGGTTTTTGTCAAGATAGGTTCTCGAGAACTATTTGCCTAGGCTGGCTGTGAACTGCGATCCTCCTGATTTCTGCCTCCTGAGTAGCTAGGATTATAGATATGATATAGATATGTGCGCTTGGCACACCTCTACATTTTCTCAGAATACTCTGGGTAAGGTCTTGCTCAGTTCAGCAAATAATAGGGGCAAAGACAGGCACAGAAAGCACCTTTTGGGGATTTTGTGTTGTTTTGAGACAGACTCTCCCTATGTAGCCCAGACCAGCCTGGAACTTGTGAACCTCTCGCCTCAGCCTCCCCAGTGCTGTGATTACAGTAGTAGACCACCCCACCCAGGTGAGCCACTGCTTTACGTATGAAGTTTTTAGGGCTTTACTTAACAAAAAATAACTTTTGCTAGTCTCTAAATGATTTGCTACATGGCATTCTCTCTTTAACCAAGAACATTAAATTCAACTATTTCATAGAGCCACCAGAGTCATTCAATTTAGTGGAATACACACAACCAGGCACAAGGGATAAGATCCCAGTGTGGATAAGATAAACCTGCAAACAAATGAAGATGACCTGAGGTGGATAAAATGTGGGCCATGCTTTAGGCATACACAAAACATGGCTTGGAAGTGGGGTCAAAGGTTCCAGAACAACAGAGGAATCCAGATGGTCTGATAAAATGCTTTAATGGTCCAGACATGGTGATAAATACCTGTAAATCTAGCACTCACAAGGCTGAGGCAGGAGGACTGCAAGTTTGGGGCCAGCCTGGGCTGCACAGCGAGACCCTGTCTCAAAAAAACATTTCAATGATTTCCCTTCACTTTTTAGGTCGTGCTGGGGATTGAACTCAGCCTTTCTGCTTGTTGGGCAAGTGCCCACACACTCAGTCTGCCTTCATTTCTTTTTTTAAAATGGGACTGCCACATGTAATCCTACTTACAGCCTCCATCAAGCCCTTCAAAGATGGGGTCTTGAGCATCAGGGCATCAAAGACTTCTTCTGACTCCTTTCGAACGTAGAGCAGCACTAGTCCCCAGTCAAGAACAAGGAGGCAAAAAAGAATAAAAGGATGTAGTTAATTCACAAGAGCAAAATATGAAAACAAATCATTGACATTGTTAAGATAAAAAGACACATTCACACCAAGGACAGCAAATATGCACCAATATAATATTTGTCCTAAGACCACAGGCTGCAGCTTCTCCCTGAACTGCTATCCAGCCTCGCTCAGTGAAGTGTTGGTCTGATGGGAGAATACTCAAGCCAGGTTCATGCAGTTTATGCTGGTGCCAGATTCAGAACTCCCTGCTGATTTAAAACTCCCACTAAGCAATGCGAACCAACACACCTCTTTTGGGCTCTTCTATCCGGGCCAGCTTAGCTGGAGGTGGGACAACAAAGTCGTCTTCTGTTCCATATGGCCCCCTTTTCAAGGCAGACCTGTGGATAACCCAATACACAGTTTGTGATTTCAACTTCAATCAAGTACAGAAACAAAGAATTTTTAGTGTATATCACTGAATTTTAGATTCAAAATAACTTTCACTCTTTATCTGGTCCGGCTTTCTTATTTTCTAGATAAAACCTCTGAGGCCCAAAGCAAGATACAGAGCCAGGGCTCATGGACATTTAATGACAGACCTGGAACTACTCAGGAGAACTGCTGGACTTTCTCCAGTCACTCTTCCACTAGACTCAGCTGCCTTCCCATAAACATTGGGCTGCTTTCCAGATAAAAATTTACAGAGGAGATAGGTCTGAAATAACTTGCACAGGATGACAAAGGAGGGGGCATTTCTTTTTGGTTTTTTGAGATAGGGTCTTGCTATTGTAGCCCAGGATGGCCTGGAACTCATGATTCTGTTGCTACCACATCCAGCTCAAGGAGGGGCACTTTAAAAGAGTGAGACAGCCTGAGCAGGAAAATGTAAAGGTAGGCTGGCTGAAACAGAACATCCCACAGAAGGCACATCAGGGAAGGGAGGCTGGCTGCATCGGTCAGCATTAAGGAATCAAGATTTTTATGGCACAGGTAAGAGGGAATCTTTGCAAGTTTTGTGAGACAGAATGGTATGCTCAAAGTATGTGGTCCACATTGCAGGGGATTCCAGGCCTAGAGGTAGGACAGTAGTGAAAGGAATTTGGTGATAATCAGAGCATAGCTTCTAAAAGGTTTAACATACTGTAGTGACTATTTCAACAAGGAGGTCTGTAGGGTAAGCAAGAAAACGGTTAAATAACTGAAAATGAACAAGGTGAGTGTTTGGTTTTAAGCAGAACCTCAGGAATAGGGTTTGGACTTTAAAATATCTGTGCATCTCAGTTCCTAGCATGTAACAGGCACCCAATGAAGATGCCCAAACTCCCATATCCCTCTTCGGCCCCACCATGTCTTAAACACAAGAATTGAAGAGACAGTGTAGGACTACGCTGTCAAGAGAAGGCACAGCTGGTAACAAGTGTGGGCTGTGGGGGGATCAAAGGTGAGGGAAAGGCAGGGCTGAGGAATGGACATGATGGTAACACCATGGCTCTCTACCATCATGCACTTTTCTGTGTCAAGAGAAAAAGGGAGACTTAAGCACCAAAGCAGGGCCTTCCTTCCCCTTCTTGAAAATTTAGTCCTAAGGTTATCAGAAAAGGCAAGCCAGGCTGCAGTTGACGGTGTCAAAACAGCCCCTTTGTGTAGCAGGCATCAGCACAGAAGGCCGTCAGGTGTGGGGGTCAGAACCCAAGGGGGCAAGCAGTCTGTCCATTCAGGGGAACAGCAAGGCTTCAGAACGAGGGGACCACCCACATTCCACCAGAGGGAGTCAGTGTATCTTGGACAAGAGGTTGGTTTTGTGTCTGGGCACAAGGCGGTGCTCCAAGAACAAGGGCCAGGCAAAAAGGAGCAGGGGCCAGCTCGAAGGGCCCACTCTGGGGATCTTTAGGTCCAAGTACACAGTGATACAACTTAGAATGGGAAACAGCCCCTTACTGATAAAAGTCAACCAGTGAATGGACTGAAAGTTTAGTGGGGAATGAGACACTTCCAGAAGTACAATGTACTGTCCCCCAAAGCACCTGCTACAAAAGCAGAACGTACCTTACAGCACAGGAGCTCAATTGCATGATTACAGGTAATGGGACTCCCTGAGTGGCACAGGGAGGATGTGGGAGGACCACCTCCCAGCAAGGACAGTTGTGCCAATGTGCCCAAGTTGAAGCTGATTATGAAGCCAGAGAGGAAGACACCCCAGCAAACAACTGGTTTGTAATCTTCCAAAGTATTCCATCAGGAAAGTCAAGGAAAGACCAAAGCTGTTCCAGACCAAAGTACAACTAACTACAACATGTGGTTCTGAACTGGGTCCTATTTTGCTATAAAGGACATTATTGGGAAAAGCAGCAAAATTGGAATGCATCAAGGTGAACATCCTGACTGACTGTGATACAGGAAGATGCCCTTGTGTATAGGGAATATACAATGAGTATTCAGGAATGACAGGACTTTGTGCAGGCAGCTTACTTCTAAATGGGTCAGGAAAAATGAGTTCCTTGTACTGAACCTGAACATTTTTTTAAATTTTTATTTTTTTTATTATTCATATGTGCATACAATGCTTGGTTCATTTCTCCCCCCTGCCCCCACCCCCTCCCTTACCACCCACTCTGTCCCCTCCCTCTCCCCCCCCACCCCCTTGATACCCGGCAGAAACTATTTTGCCCTTATTTCTAATTTTGTTGTAGAGAGAGTATAAGCAATAATAGGAAGGAACAAGGGTTTTTGCTGGTTGAGATAAGGATAGCTATACAGGGAGTTGACTCACATTAATTTCCTGTGCGTGTGTGTTACCTTCTAGGTTAATTCTTCTTGATCTAACCTTTTCTCTAGTTCCTGGTCCCCTTCTCCTATTGGCCTCAGTTGCTTTTAAGGTATCTGCTTTAGTTTCTCTGTGTTAAGGGCAACAAATGCTAGCTAGTTTTTTAGGTGTCTTACCTATCCTCACCCCTTCCTTGTGTGCTCTCGCTTTTATCATGTGCTCAAAGTCCAGTCCCATTGTTGTGTTTGCCCTTGATCTAATGTCCACATATGAGGGAGAACATACGATTTTTGGTCTTTTGGGCCAGGCTAACCTCACTCAGAATGATTGAACCTGAAATTTTTTGATAAGTTTGAGATTACTTCAAAATAAAGTAAGTTTATTAAAGTAAAGCAAAACATAAATCTTACCCTTCACCCTCCAATTCTTCTGAGGCAATGGAAAGAACCTAAGAACAAAACCACACATTGTTTTTCAAATAAATGCTCAAAATGTTTCAGACCAAAAATAAATTACCCCTAAAATGGAAGTCATTTTAAACCTCACCAATCTAGCACCAAGCTCTTTTTTTAAATACAGATTCCTACAGTCTTCTTTTTCAGTGCCCAGATTTTTATAGCTATCTTGAATTTCTCTAAAATGGCACATTATGGCCAGTGGGCCAATCTGGTCAAAGCCTGCACATGTAAATGAAGTATTTAGTGAAACAAAGCCATAGTCATTTAATCACATATTGTGTATGGCTGCTTTTGCATCAGAATGGCAGAGCTTAATAGCATATCAGAAATGCCAGGGTCCAAAAAGCCTAACTATGTGGTCCCTTACAGAAAAAGTCTCTAAGCCCTGCTCACCCCAAAGCTTCTCACAAGAAACAATGTATTGGCAATGGCCTTCCTTAACAACTCTGAAAAATTATTCCTTACAAGTTTGTCTACTAAGTACATGGAATAGTGTCCTTTTGATATGTAGCAGAGCTCAATAAGCCCCACTCTATTGACACTCCTATCCCTACTAAGTTTTTGCCACAAAGCAAGGTGTGACTATTTTTTAAATTTTGCATTGCTGCTAAGACATAGCTGTATTAGTGCTAATCGTGACTCAGCAACTAGAACCATGAGAGGAGTCTGGATGTTCCTTGTAAGGTTACTTGACATGTGTATTACCCAAGTTAAAGCCACAAGATCACAGACTCAAGCTCCAGATTATGTTGCTACTCCAGAAGCCTTCAAATGAAGGAAGACATGAAAGAACGATTTATACTGACAGCTGATACACTGCATTTTCAAATCAATGACTGAATATTCCAGAGAGCTGACTAACTGGTCAAGCCTCACTGAAGTTTGCTTTGCAGCCCCCCAACTGGAAACTGGTTACCTACATGAGTGCCCCGCTGCAGGTTGGCAAAGTGCACATCCGGAATAAAGAGGACAGGCTGAGTATCGAGATCAAGAAAGGGCTTGAACACTGTGATGTCCATTCGTTTGTGAGAGGGAAGCAGTGGCACTTTAACATCAGAAACTAGGGAGAAAAAAAGAGATGCTAATATCAACAGATTATATCTACAGGCTGGAAGCAGGCCTCGAGCATTTTTTACAAAGTTTAAGAAATCTAAATAATAGGACTATAGGTATAGGTCATGTGGCCTGCACGAAGAGAAAAAAATCAGTTTATGTAAAAGGATTTGCTGTGCACATTTATAATAAAAGCAACTGAACACCCTACAAAGATCAATAGTCAGAGGTACCTTTAAACACGCATAGACACATGTAACATGGAGTTGGAAGAGAGCTAAAGCATATTTAGTTTTCATCTGAAAGGCTAAATCTTATCATTGTATGAATTCAATCTGGAAGCAATTCCACCTTAGCTGCCCTCATTAAATAATTGACATTTGACTTCAGAACATATTAACAGCCTCAACAGTGAGCTTAAGAATAAGTGTGGTTAAATCCCAGCTAAGTGGGAGGTGGAAAAAGGAGGATAAAGCTTTGAGGCCAGCAAAAAAAGTTAGTGCAACCCTATCTCAAAGAAATAGCTGAACAGTCATGGTGCAAACCCAGCTATAACAGGTAGGAGGATTGAGGTCCAAGGTTATTATGGGCAAAAAGCAGAAGACCCTACCTGAAAAATAACTGAAGCAAAGAGTGGTTCAAGTGGTAGAGCCCTTGCCTAGAAAGCACAAGGCCGAGTTCATACCCCCAAAACACAAGAATAAGCATGCCTTGTTTCCAATTTGTTAATTATGGATAATCAATAATGGGTCTCCCAGTTTGTTAGCTGTTCTCTTAAGTGGCAGTGGAGGCAGCACTTTGAGGCCAGTGGGAGAATCCTGACATCTGCTGAGCCAGGCAGATCGTTCACACAACACACAAGAAGCCAGTGCCACAGATGAAACACTGTAGGAATAGTGCAGAATTTTTCTCCATTTAGTTCTTTGAATAGGTACAGGATTTTTTAAATATGAAAACTGGTCACAGTTTAAAAAAAAAAAAAACTGTGTGTGGCAGTACATGCCTACTATTCCAATTCTTAGGAGGCTGAGGCAGGAGGTGATTCAAGTTCAAGGGTAACCTGGACTCCAGAGCAAGATCCTGTCTCAAAAACAAAACAAAACAAAACAAAACCCCGGAAGCTCAAGCAATAGAGCACCTGCCTAGCAAGCATGAAGTCCTGAGTTTAAACCCTAGTACTGCCAAAAACAAAACAAGACTTTCCTGTGGAAATGTCCAAGTAGATGCCTTGGGATGATGCAAATGTTAGGCTCTACACAAGAAAATGGCGCCATCTGCAACGAAGACACCCTGTAGTCTCAGGGGCACTATCACTACTTTCACAAATCAAGACAAGCCAGCTCTAGCAGAAGCTCATGGGAGCATCTGTTGTTTTTCAGGACTGGAGCTAACACCTGAACCTGACCAAACTAACTGCCTAAAACACCTGTGTTCAGGATAACTCCAGAAACCAGCCCATAGTTTCTGCCCCCATTTGCTGCTACTGCTGCTGAAGGTAACTGTGACCCCACCCCGACAGCCTCTGCTTGGCACTCTAGCCCACATTCTGCAAGGACCAGCCTGCGGCTGGCTGGATATGGCTACTTACAGGCATTCACCTGAAAGCTGGGGTCAGGACACTTGCCTTTTCTTTTGCTTTGCTTTCGTTCTTCATCCCTGATTTTCCGCTCAGCTCCCTGCAGGAAAAGGAGACAAGATGGGATTCTGTGGCTCTACTCCTCTTTGGAACAATCAACTCCTATTCTGAGCAATGTGGCAAGAGCTCTCCACTCTGGAAGTAAACCTTATTACTTACTATATTCACAGGGCGACTTACCACAGTGATTTTCTCTAAAAAGCTTATTCTTAGAATTATTCTTAACTATATGAAATCACAGAAACATTTATTTTAAAAATAAACAAACAAAGGAAAATTCCTCTCAGCAACAGATGTGGCCAGGTTAAAAGAAAAGTTAAGAAAATCTGTTAATACGCCACATTGCCTATAGAGGCATAAGTGCCTTCTCCCTCTGTCTAGTAGGAAAAGAACATGAAGGGGAAAAAATACCAGTTGATCCTTGCAATGTTATCCTGGAGGGCCAAGATATCCACTGAGTGACAGGTACAACCAGGTGTAATTCACAAATGCAAAGATGCAACCAGAAAGTTGCATGTTCACTTAGAGAACAAGTGTACTCTGTGTCCTATAAAAAGGACAGTTTTGCACCGTGTATAGCAATTGCACAAAAAGTAACAGTGCCTTACAACAGAGTCCAGAAAAATAAAAAAAAAATATATACTAATAATAATCATGACTTAAAACTAAGCAATTAAATACCATAAAAGCAATACATTTAATAAGTTCTCTTGATTTACTGGTGTGTATTTCTGGATCATACAGATTTCTTTGCCAAGTTATCCTGTAAAATATGAACTGGTGACTTATGTTTCTGTTAAATAAATTCCCTGAAGGAAAGACAGTAAATGAAAGTCTTGCCACTGTTCTTGGCATTATGCAATAGGATCAATTTTAAAAATCAGAATGCAAAACACACTGCCTTCTCTAGGTGTAAATGCATTTATGCATCATTGGTAAATGTATAACCTGCTTGTAAAAATTTCTATGCAATACTGAACACACATTACCTCCTTGATGGAGGTAAAGGTCTCTAGTCACCTAGCCATCACTGAATGGAGCTGGTCTTTACCTCTTTCAGTCCCTTCTAACAGTTACTTAATTCTGGTGATAAACTACACCCCCAAAAGGTAGTTTTACAAAATAGGACATTCCCTTCTTATTTATCAGGTGTATCCATGAAGAATGATAAGGAACTTCTGCTTCTAGTCAAGATGGAGATTTATACTCTACCTGAAACAGCGAAAACCAGACAAAATGTACAAGACGAAGATTCTGAAGGCCCTGGCACAGCAGGAGCCAACCAGGTGAGCCCTTCAGCTGTGCCATCTACTGCCTCCAGAGAATATTCAGGATGCAGATGAAGAGAGAGGGTAGGGAGGACAAAGCGCAAAGAAGAAGAACTACAAGAGGCAGCCTGAGATCCCCAGCAGATCTCTTTCAAGTACTCAGTAAGTACTGACAGGTGTGAGGAAATTACCCAAGGGGAGGGAAAAACACTCCCCAAGATTAGAGAAATGGTGCCTAAGACTAACACAGGGCCAGAAATAGTGCCTGTTCCCACTAATGAGACTGGAAAAATGCATGACTCAAAGGCATAGAGTAGAAAACTCAGGAAAATCTTGCTCAGCCATACAGAACAATTAGCCTGACACTGAGTATGGCTCCAGACCTGCCTGTCAAGTCATAAAAGTTAGATCTGAAAAGATCAAACTGTTTCCAAGACACTTAAAAAGTCTTAGGACAAAGGTCAAGAAGAGTCCCAGGAATACAGAAATGTCTAGCCCCCAACAAGGTAAAATTCACAAGGCCAAATATTCAGTAAGACTGCCATGCAGGCAAAGAAGCAGGAAAACATGACTGCAGGACAATCAAACCATTGACCCTGACCCAGAACTGACACAGGATGTCAATCAAGGACATTAAACTGGTTACAGTAACTGTATCCCATGTGCTCAAAAACTAGTGAAAAAAAAAAAAACCGTAAAAAAACTAAACCTGGGCACGGGGTGTGGCTCAGTGGTAGAGCAGCTGCCCAACCTGTACAGGAGTTCACTCCCTAGCACCACAAACAAAAACATCTGCTAAGCAGAGACATGAACAATACAAAACAGCCCCAACTTGAACCTCCAGAGAAGAAAACTACAATATCTTAGATAATAATTACACTGGATGGATTAACAGCATTTTATACCTAGCAAAAGATGGGTGAACTTGAGGAGATGGCAAAGGAACTATCCAAAATGAAACAGAAGAAAAGTAATTAAAAAAAGAAAATGTCACTAGTGGGCTCTAAGAGAATTTTGAGAACCTTATGGATGTATAACCAGAAAGAAGCAAACATATTGGCTGAAAATTTCCAAGTTTAGTAAAAACTATAAACCCACAGATTCTCAACATAACTGAAGAAACTCCGAGAACAAGAAACATAAATACACGTATCATGATCAAATTGTTCAAAACCAGTGACAGAGAAAATCCTGAAAACCAGTCTCAGAAAAGAAGAATTACATACAGAACAAAGACTCGGGTGGTTGCAGACTCTCATCAGAAGTGCCACAGGAAGTCAGCAGACCAGCACTTCAGTACTGACAGAAAAACAGTTGCTCTAGAATTTTATACCGAGCAGGAAGATTTTCCCAAACAGAAGATGAAATCAGACACAAAAAATGTGAAAGAACTTGTCCCCAGTAAGCCCACACTGCAAGAAATGTTAAACCAAGTCCCAAGACACTATGGGGAACCAATGAACCTCAAGTTGTTTTGACTCTTTCTCTTCATCATCAACTCATTCAGTTGATTTTGGGCACTGCATCAGGTGTTCTTTACAACATACACTCTGATGAAGAAGAAAATAACTTCTGTGGGAAGTGTCAATGAGCTTTTCTGTATTAGGATAGACCAGGGATCTATGTAAGCTCATAGAAAAAGGAGGTGGCAAATTTCCACTGGTTAGACATCCAATTTCTACTCCAATTTTCTCTGAAAAAAAGTGCTAAATTTTGCTACTGCAATAAGAGAAAATTCCACTTATCAAATGAGTTAAGCAGCTTATAATAAAGTTCTGATACAACTTTCTTCTCAGAAAGGAAAAAAATGTTAATACCTCTAAAGGATGCCAAAAAGATGTCTTACGTCTAATTTCTTACTGCAAATGTGGACCAAATTCATAAAATGAGTTTCGTTTCATTTTTTTTTCCATCTCTAGTGATACAATTGCATCTACATTATTTTCCTTTTATATTGTTGCTGTTGCTGAACTGGGGCACATTGTGACTTTTACAAAAGTTCTTACAATATGTCAGAGTTGAATTCACCCTCTCTCCTCCATATTCCCTCCCCCATTCCTGAAATAGTTTCAGCAGGTCTCATTCTCCCATTTTCATACTTTTTTGCGGGGAGGGTGGTAGTGGGGCTTGAATTCAGGGCCTTATGCTTACTTGGCAGGTATCTACCACTTGAGCTACTCTGCAGCCCTTTTAAAAGGTTTATTTGAAATAAGGTCTCTTAAACTATTTGTCCAGCTGACTTTGAACCTTGATCCCCCTGATCTCAACCTCTACAGCAGCTAGGATTACAGGCAAGAGTCACCAGCACCCGTCATAAAATGACAGTTTTAAGAGCTAGCAGAGGGAAGTGAATTGACAGGCACCAATTAAGAGAGGGTCAAACCTCAGAATGACAGGCTCAGGTGGGATAGTCCAGACCTGGGCAGTCCAGGCCGACCTACAGTGGAAGCAGCAATTGCAATCACAGTGAGTGGCACAAAGTTCATAGCCAGGATGGGAGTAGGGGCAGGGACATGTGGGGTTCGTGTGGCTGGGAGGCTCAGCTTTGAAACTCAGCACATACGTGGTATTTTCTGCTCATGTAAGATTGTATGCCAGCCATAACAGCTCTGAGATTAAAAACTGGGGGTGAAAACAGTGTACATTTTCACCTTCTATGTCCCCAAGTGTCCTCCTATACCATATGGCACTTACTACTGCTTCTCTGTGCCATAAGGGCGGAAGTGGAAGGACAGGCCAACAACTTCGTTTCCAAGCGTGTCTCTAGAATTACATATGCTGCAGGCAGGGAAAAACGGTAGTGGAATTGGAAAGGACCTCACACAAGATAACCCACGAAGGCTGAGAGCACCTGAGCATTCACTGACTTAGGTTACACACTGCACCATGAGCAGTACAGGCTCATTTTTTTTTAGCCACGGCTTTGTGTGATGTTCCCTTACTGCGGTACAAGTAACGGCTGCACATCTGACCTGCTAGGCAAAACTTGGGACATATGTTCCCAGTGCATGTGATCCAAGTGAACAGATGAGCAGGCCAGCACTAACACCAGAAAGTAAAATCACACACTGTTCCAAAACACACTCAGTTCTGCAATCTTGAAGGTGCACTGCTTTGCAGAACACACCAGCATGCAGCTTCAAAGCACTCATTCGGCACAAACTGCTTTCTAAACTTTGTACAACCACCACCGATTAATAAAAGTAACTTTGGACAGTTCACAACACCCTTCCTATGTTTCATTTTCCTATTTATTTATATTTTTGGTGGCACTGGGGTTTGAACTCAAGGCCTCATGCTTGCTAGGCAGGCGTTCTACCACCTGAGCCATTCTGTCAGTTTCTTTTTATTTTTGGCAGTACTGGAGTATGAACTCAGGGCTTCATACTTGGAGGAGCTCTACTGCTTGAGCCATGCTTCCAGTCCTGTGTTTTATTTTCTAAACCAGCTTACTAAAACAGAAAGCTCCCCAGTTCAAATCCCAGTGCTACCAACCCAGTGGCTCACGCCTGTAATCCTAGCTGCTCAGGAGGCAGAGATCAGGAGGATCAGGGTTCCAAGCCAGCCTAGGCAAATAGTTTGTGAGACCCTATCTCAAGAAACTCCATCACAAAAAAGGGCTGGTGGAGTCGCTCAAGGTGTAGGCCCTGAGTTCAAACCCTAGTATTACAAAAAACAACAAAAAAAACCTCCTCAGAAAAGTCTTTTTTTTTTCCAGTATTGGGTATTGAACTCAGGGCTTAATGTTTGCTAGGCAGGCATTCTACTACTTGAGCCATGCCTCCAGCCCTCTTCCTGGAAAAGTCATAATATTAAAACCAAATTTGTTTAAGAGCATTAGTCTGTATATTCCTTCTTTTCAAAACTGCATATATAAATTTTCTATCTGATATGGAAAACTGTTTACTGCTGACTTGGGCTGACGTCTTCTGACATAGCTCTGTTCAGTGTGACCTGTGGACCAGCATCAGTCCATACTGCTATGGTGTCAGGAACCGAGTAAACATTTGGGTAAAAATTATATAGAATAGTGTCATGTTTATTGAATCAAATTCAAAAATTGGGACTAGCAGTTTGTGTGACTATTTTACTACCAGTTCATTTTCCTGGCAATTCATTTGACTTTTTATTTGGCTTTACAGAAACAGATGTTCCTAACAGGTTAGAAATAACCAAGGCCTGCCTGCACATCATGGATAACCATGGGGAAGCCACGCTCAGCGACCATGGCCCTTTCCCCAAGAAAAACCCTGGCAATGGACTGGCCCTCTGGTCAGTGTCTTCTGACACAGCTGCCTCCCATGTAGACTCTCCTGGTGGGAACCCTGAGGGCACTGAAACCAGGATCCTTTCCTTGTCGGCAGAGGCCACACAGAAAACAGCAACTTCACAGCATTCAGAAACTGAACTTGGGAATTCTGAAGAATGCCAAGAAAAGTTGTTAGATAGGAACAGTTTTTTTTAGAAATATCAAAAGTGAAAAAACCTTTAATTGAACCAATAAAACTGTAATTTCTACACAGAGCCTTATAAAAGCAACATGAACACAGACATCCTCACTATTCCTCCTCAGATTTTTTGTTTGCTTGTTTTTTGAGACAAGGTCTCACTACACAGCCCATGCTGCCTTAAACTCATGATCCTCCTGCCTTCACCTCCCAAATACTGGGTTAAAGGTATGTGCCATTACACCTAGCTTCTCAGGTTTTCTTTAGGCTACAAAGAGGAATGTGGTATGATGAGAAGAAGCTGACTTAGCACCTGAAGTTCCTGTGCCCACCAGCTATGACTCATTTTCTTTGAATTGCAGCAATGGCAGGTCACAAGGCAGAAGGGAGGTAAAGCTGCTGCTAATCTGCAGACCAAAAGACAGGGATATTATCCTAGGTTACCTGTGGAAGCCCAAGGTAACCACCAAGGCCTTAAAAAGCAGAAGAGGGAGGTAGAAGAGATGGAACAAAGCAGAGCCAGAGTGATGTGGTATGAGCTGCAACCAGTCACCTTGGGTTCTAAAGGTGAAAGAGGCCATGAGCCAAAGAAATCCGGCAGCCTCCAGAGGTAGCAGGTTCTCTCGGAGATGCTCCCAAAAGGGATGAAGCCCTGTCCATGTCTTGATTTTGGCTGTGAGACTTGTCAGTCTTTTGAGCTATAGACTGATATTAAACTTTTATTGTTTTAAGCCACTGTTACTTGTTAACAACAACAACGACGAGCACACTGTGACCCGTTAGGAAGTACACATAGGCAGGACCTTGATAGTGGTACTGAATCTGGGTGTTCTTTGGGAAGCTCTCTGAACTTAAAGGTCCCCAGCACCCTCCTGTGGTCAGGAGCTATGCTTTCACAGCCAGTCAAAATTCAAGGGGAGAACAAGCCTTTGACAGCAAGTATAAGTCCAGTTACCTAGCACCTTTTAAAAATCCTCATACAGGGGCTGGGATGTAGCTTGGTGGTACAGCACTTGCCTAGCATGCGCAAGGCCCTGGGTTCGATCCCAGCACCAAAAAAGAAAAGACAAAAATAAATAAATAAATAAAAATCTTCATACAAGAAAAGTTTGGTTTTTTTTTTTTTTAATACATCAAGGTGAAAAGAGAGAAACTACCAAAAAAATACACAGCCCAATATTTTTGGGTGGGAAAAGTAAAAGTCTTCCTTAATTCAAGTTCAAGGGACTATTCATTCCTCTGTGGCTGCTTCCTAGCTCAAAACAGCAATCTCCTTCCCATGTGCACAACGAACAGCCCTACCACAGTCTCCAACATAGTGCAGCTCAGCCCCTGGCCATCTGTTTCCTAGGAAAAGGCAGCCACACCAAGAAATCAGATGCTGCTGACAGGGAAGAACAGCTCAAGGTCATATTCTGCTACTGTCCTGAGGATGCTGAGGACTTGCCACAGAGCCTGCAGGGATGTAAGCCAGGTAAAAAGGATGGCCCAATTTAGTGGTAACTGAGCTGTGCTCAGGATGAACCCTGCACCCACCTCTTATCAGACATGCCCATCAACCTGCATTACCAATTCCTCTAATTGTTTAGTTAAAACAGTTTTTTTCTTCCCTTTCTAATGTTTCTTTGCATACAAGGCTAAAACAATAAATGGCCACTTAAGAGAAGCTATTTTATATCAGCACAATAATCACATCACCTTGCAGTTAGGATGAAAAGCCCATGGGAGGAAGAGCATCTTTCAAATGCCCCACACAGCCCTCACTCGCTCTTACCTTGTCACAGAAGACTTTTATCTGGCAGTAAGCCCGGTGCACTGGCTTGTTGCTGCGGTTGTTGTAACTATAGGTGTCAATCTGAATGTTGAGAGGCAACCCCTTCACACCCTTCTGCGAAGAGAAATCTGTGCTTAAGCAGTTCACAGAGATGAATACCTGAGGAAGGAAAAGAAGGTTCCATGAGCAACAGCTCCAACAGCCAACTCAGTACAGTCTGTGAAAATACTAACAGTGAATGAGAGCTCAGTTTCCTGCTTGAAAGAAGCCTTTCCTAGGGCTTATTTGGAAATTACTACAAGTCACAGGAATGGGAGAAGAAGGACTGTTCATCTCCCTTCTACGATAGCTCTTTAGTATCAGCCAGGACAAGTGCGAGAGAATGGCTGTCACTGCTGATGTCATCTGCTGCTATCACCATAGCATGTCTCTCTGTGGCTGTTTTATAGCTCAGTACAGGCTCTGGAAATCTACGTGTATCTATTGGCACCACATTTTGGGGTCAGTTGTAGCAGTCTACATCCTAACACATTGGGACTTTTGAAATCAGGGTTCCCTTAATCTATAATTCCTATGATTATAAAATTCCAAAGAAGTTCTTTCTCAATGGCTGCTTGTCTAAACTAAAACATCTTCATCTTTTCCCCATTTGTTCTTACTGGTCTTTGATAAGAAAATCACATTGGGCCAAGTCTTTAGACAGTAGTTTTCATACCTCCTTTATGGGTAGTGACCAAGGCTCAAGGGCCTTTCATTATTTAAAATTAACTTGGATTTTTATTTTGACAGGCACAAGTGAAAACTTAGACAAAAGAGGCAAAGTTTGTTCACAGGCTAAGAACTTGATCACAAACAAGCCTTTGTTTTTTTATTTTTGGGGGGGCAGTACTGGAGTTTGAACTTAGGGCTTCATGCTTGTGAGGAAGGCACTCTACTGCTTGAGCCACTCCCCAGTCCATGATCATACAAGTTTTAATTAATGACTACCTAGCACTAAACAATGCATTCTTCATTTAAGGAAGCTGCACAGAGATGTGGCTGAAACCTCCAAGAAGAATAACTCAGGAAGACATTATGCTGGTGGGTTTATGTCCCCGAGAGAGAAGAAAAACTCAATTATCCAAGTAATGGAGATGGCTCTCCTAGAGGGTCACCAACTACTCTGGAGAAGCCACACAAATGGGCCTCGGGGTTGTCGCCTGGCTTCACAACTCTGCTCTCTTTCCCTAGCACTCTAGTGGCCTCTGGCCACACGGACAATTTCCAAGTATGCTGGGGCTGGCGCTGGCCACTTTCATAGAGCAGCTGACCCGCGCCTCAGCAGCGCACTAGCTGGGGCAGAAGCTTTCCGACTGGGATTCCATTTTTCGAGGAGGAGGAGGAGGCCATACCTCTCCCCATCTCCCCGCCCATCCTGTGTTCACTGTCAGTTAAGTCTGCTCATCTTCCAGTCCGGGTTCTAAAAGTACTGTAGTACTGGAGGCTGCCACCCAGTGAAGCCTGGTGGAGCTCTGCACAGACAGTGAATATACTCCACTTCCCTGTTTTTGTGCTTCTGGATTTTAACCTGTCCACACATGGTTACAATGCTTTTGATCTCCCAGGCAGCTGGTTTTAGAATTGTTTCTAGGTCATGAGCACCACATGGTGGATAGTCCTAGAATCACAGTTTTAAAAACAGACTGGCACATTTCAAAGACACATTACCCTTAAGCTGGACAATTAGGATTCTTCCTAGTCCTTTAGCCTCAACAAGCAGCACTGGGTGTTGCTGGCTGAACAGGGATGAATTTAAGTTATAAAAGGTGGAAAACCCTACAAGAACACTAAATTTAAAAAAAGGGAGTGAAAGAAAAGTTAAGGAGAAAGAAAACTTAGAACTGTGAGGACAAGGAATGCTCTCTAGACAGCATGCAATGTAGGAAGAGGGCCTTTATCCTTACTTAATTATTTCTAAGTAGGAAAAGACCAAAACATTCTAAAATGACTGAGAACAGATTTAGCAGTCTCACATCCCATGCCTTTACCAGGCCTCTCCAGACCTTCCTTTTCACTGTCTCTGGAACACTGCCGAGTGCCATCCCTGGCTCACCTGTAACCTTGGTGACCTCCCTACTGGTCTGGTGGCCCTGGCCACCCCACAGCTCTGCTCTGCCAGCCAGGCACCAGCAAGCAGCAGCACCAGCAGGAGGAGGTGGGCCAATCCCAGCACACCAGGACCATGACAGGCTTTTGATACTGTCTAACAAGTCATCGCTGTGCCCAGCAGAGGCCACTGTTCCCCTCTCACAGATGAAGCCCAGGAAGATATTATAGCTGTCCCAAATGGGATAGCAAAGGAACTAGATAGGATTCATTTCGATGACTTTCCCTACCCCCTCACACCCTACTACCTCTCTTTTCCAAATCGACCTTTCCCCAAATTGGTTGGAGACCTGGGATGAAGGGCGCGCTACTTTGATGTGTGTTGTCTCACTTCCTGACTAGACCATACATACCAGTGGGTCAGGTCCACATCCTGGCTCATCCCCAACCCAACACTGAGCATGGACCTTCTAGCACTGCCCTATCTTGCCTGCTGAAATTTTTCTTTCCACTAAATAAGCAAAATTGCTTTAAATTTTTAAGAACTAGATATAGATATATAGGCAAAAAGGGGCACACCAGATTTCCAAACCGCATTATAGAAAATCTATCTCTGACTTGCTATTTTATATATGCATGTATATATACTTAAAAAATTACTTCATCTACAATCCATAAGCCCATAAATCAGAAGCAGAAGACAATCTATGGAATACACTTAGGTTAAAAAAAAAGTAATCTATGCAAACTGGGCACATAAAGTAACCAAATGATCACCCATTTAATTTTACAACCAAATGGCAAATCTAAATTTTTGTCACCTTTAGCCATGTGGCTCAATTCCTAACTCAGAAACAATGCCTGAGAAAGTTGCACTTTTAGCTCAACAATTCCAGGAAAACTCTTGACCTGAAGTGCCATTCCCTTTTCATGGAAATCCAACCCAAACCTGACCTCCCCTTGCTTCCCAGTTTCAAGGTTCACATAAAAGCAGAAATAAACAGGAGCCAAATCCCAGGATCAGGATAAACACAGCCTTCAGGAAGACCTGCCCTCACTGTTACTCATGACCACTTCCACTCTTTAGTTTAAAATATAACACTTTACTATAAAAGTTCTTTCCAAATTTAGCAGATCTCTAAGTTTATCAAAGGAAATTTGCAACATTCCTAATGCAGCATTAAAAAAATTCCATCATGTCTAAATATACAAACATAGCAGGAAACAGGGACAAAGGTATGAAGTAGAAATACACTATGCCAGGGAAGGACAATAGCCTGAAGACCCCAAAAGAGAAAACATGAAACAGTGCTCACAAGGCCTGGAACAGTAGGATCCAAAGCAAGAACATGCAGGATCATGGAGGGGACATGTGGGGCTGAGGAGATATCTGTGCCAGGTTTAGGACTCAATTAATGGGAGCAAGAAGGCCCTAGGTACTTTCTGGCGGGAGGTAATATGCTCAGCAGAAGTGGCTTTAGTCTGAAAAATCAAAACAACCAAGTTTGGTGCCATCTCTGTCCATAACTAGTGCTGTCACCACTGACCAGGTCCTTACCTATCAAGTGACTGGGTGAGTCAGAATTTCTCTAAAGCACGTCCAACTCCAGACCCTGTGATTACGTCCATACTGAATGAGGGTGAATCCAAATTCCTACTCCATATTTACTACTGGTGACAAACCTATTGTGCAATATATTTACCAATCAACTCTCTATAAATCCTATTATTTTGAAAGGACCATGTAAGGTTGCAGTTAAAGTAATCATAGTAAACAACTTGTGGAAACAGAATAGTCTTATACAAGATGGCCTGGGAACTTGTTAGAAATTTCACGCCCACTCAGACCCCCAGAATCAGAAAGTCAAGGGTGGGGTCCCAAGTGCTCTAGGGAATCCTGGGCATGTGGAAGCCTGAGGAACTCATCTCAGTGATTCACACACCAGAGTGCACTGCACCACTGTGAAACCTATGAGTGCTTGGCCACACGACTAGGAACTCAGATCTCCTTGGCCTGGGGTAAGTACAGACACGAGGACTGCCTTTTTGGTACTCCCAGGTAATTCAAGTTATCAGTCAGGATGAAAACCACTGCTATAAAGTAACTGCTCTCCTACAGACTGATGTACTTTGCCTCCAAAATTCTGAGATCATCAAACTAGTCTCAATGCATAATTTCCTTTCTTTAAAGAGTTCAGATCAGGACTGAGGGTGTGGCTTAAGTTGTAGAGTGCCTGCTTAGCAAGCACAAAGTCCTGAGTTCAAACCCCAGTACAGCCAAAAAAATAAAATAAAAAGAGTACTGCTCAACTTACATGCATTTATATGTACTACATTAGGTTTAATAAAATAAAAAAAAATTTATAGAGGCACAGCCCTATCAAGTAAGAATATTTATTTACTTAGTGTGAACAGACTGAAGCATTTGTTCAACTTTGCTATTAAATAAGGTCATGCCAATCCTCAAGTGGTCAAAGTTCAAAAGATACTGACCAGAAAAAAAACATTGAAAACTCTAAGATTCTCCTTGTTTCCACTAGCTGTGTTGTATTTGCTTTTCTCGGGGATTTACGTTTCTGCAGGAGAGTGTGTGCTCAGGTGGAGGTATCAGTTGTGACTCGGAACTGCAGGACAGGAGCGGTTTTGGTGCCACCTAACTCCACTGTGAGGCAATCACACCTCAGTCACCTATGTTCCTGGTACCTGGGACATGTTTTTAATAAAAGAAGGAATAATGTATAGGGAATGATACAGACATGTGAGACACCTTTTACACCAGGGCTGACCAACTCTCGCTTGGACACTAATTTGTCCTTCCCTCATTACCATGTGGTTAACAGGTCATAATTTGACAACTCCACTTTCCTCATCAGGGACATCCTGACAAGCTATCTGACTCATGCTTCTGGCTGACACATCACTCACCCTTGGAGCCATGCTGTCTCTATCAGTACAGCTTCACTCAGAGGGGAGTGGGGCAGTGCTGACTTCTAAGTCTTTGTATTTAGGAAGGTGACAATCTCTAGTCAGTAGCACCCAAAACAGGACAAGTATGAAAACAAGCCACAGCTGCC